GTTCGCCGATATCTCCGTTGTTTGTAAACCGATTTTGAAAATTCTTTTTTTGTTAGAAAGGAGATAGTTCCAGAATGGTCCCATGATAAGGATTCCCATGAGAAGGAGCCGAGAGCCAATTGAGGGAACTCCTCAACGGTTAACAGTAGCTACCTTGTGTTTGGGTTTGATTAATTTGTATTGATGAGGACTTTACACCTGAGTGGGGTGTAATTGTCAATAAGGGTCTGATGATGAAGTAGTCTAATAGTTGAGGGAACTCCTTAACGGTTAACAGTAGGTATTTTGTGTTTGGGTTTGATTAATTTGTATTGATGAGGACTTTACACCTAGATGGGGGGGGGGGGGGGGTGATGGTCATTAAAGGTCCAATGACGAAGTAGTATGCTATAGCTAAGGGACTCCTCAATGGTTAAGAGTACCCACCCGGTGTTTGAACTTGCATAATTTGTATTGATGAAAACTTTGCATCCATGTGGGTTTTGTATAATATAATATATCAAAGTACTAAACTAAAAAAAACCGACTTCAAAAACAAATGACAAACAAAAAGTAAAAACTAAAAAGGAAAAAAAAAACTATTAGTGGTCATACGTACGTATAGCTTACACACCCACTGATAGGTTAGAAGTCGGTGCCACAAACCCACAATAAAATATAAAGTAGACAAAAGTCACAGCTGGTATAATCCATAATAAAATTGTAAACAGCTCAATAATGTTAGGTATTTATTAAGGTTTTAATGAATAATTTTGTTTAAAACTTGTGGCACCGACTTCTAACCTATCGGTGGGTGTGTAAGCTATACGTACGTATGACCACTAATAGTTTTTTTTTTCCTTTTTAGTTTTTACTTTTTGTTTGTCATTTGTTTTTGAAGTCGGTTTTTTTAAACGCAGTTTTTTATTGGTGTAGAATGATCCTATCATGATACATACTAAATTAACTAAAAAACGCAGGTTACTCACGTGAATATACTGAGAAAACCTCGACTAGTTTCGAGCTACAGAGACTCTTTCTTATGAGTAGCGTGCGGGGTCATGGCGATGTCGCGCTGCCAACTGGGTAACAATACGGTAGTTGACAGGTAGTCAAATTCAATACTTTTACTGAAATGTCAAAAACAATCATTTTCTATGAATTTTGTATTAGATCGCAACTTATGACGTCATCATATTTCTGCATCAAATAGCATATTTATATCCTTAAAATTAGCGATAAAAATCCAAAAGTAGGTAAATTGTCAAATCAATGGATGAGAGTATGATTATTTTTTAATTATTTATTGCATTGAAAAGTTGAAACAATTTATGTTAAACATTGGAAACTAGCCAATTATCAGAATTTTTCCAGATCCGATTAATTTCGAATATAAATAACAACATAACATAACATCACGCCTTTTATATCCGAAGGGGTAGGCAGAGGTGCACATTATGCCACTGTACAATGTAACACCCACGTTTCACTATTTATGTTATGAATCCCATGCAATGAGGGTGAGCCTATTGCCATATACTGGGCACAATTCCAGTCACCGTGCTACTACTGAGTTTGTTTTTTTAAAACCCAGTAATACTTTGCCCGATCCGGGAATCGAACACGAGACCCCTTGCCCGGCAGTCGCACTTGCGACCACTTGGCCAACGAGGCAGTTTCAATAATTATTTTTTTTTTTGAAATTTCTTTATTTGAAAGAGTGCGTTTGAAACAACACATAAGAGATTCTGGTAAAGAACTAGGCATCATAATGATGTTTAATTTTCAAAGTCTAAAATCCAATCACAACCACTACACACTAATTCAATTCGCTTCGCTAAAACCCAACACAATAAATACTAAACGATTAAATACCAACACTGAGCAATACCAACACAAACCAGACCTGTGTGGTAATCCCATTAGATGCTATACTTGATAAAGTAATGTAATCTGGTCCAATTACGGTACAACCGTCAATGTCCGACTGTCTATCAATGTCTGCCGAGCTCTGAATTTCAATGGCTATGCTCTGGTTTCAGTAAAAACTGAACGTTTTTGTTCGTCATAACATTTTGGTTTTGTTTACAAAAAGGGCGAAGTAAAGGAGTACCTTTTTTGTTGAGGGGGAAAAATCATCGAATGACTGCTCCCGCCTGGGTGAGGCGAGAGGGAGTGTCAGACTCTTATTGACTAAAAACCACCCCGTTCCTTTTCCTGCACTTCGAGCCGGAGCCCCGGCAACCCGTTAAGTCTTCCGCGGCTCCGAAGTAAAGGAGTACACAAGACAATCCGCGAAGCGTCACCGATTCGTATCGGTGACGCTTCGCGGATTATCATCTTTGTCCGACCCGAGAATCGAAGTGAAGAGCCGTTCCTTGGCAGTAGCAATACATAACATTCGACTTACAAGGCAGCCATTAAGTAATTTGGGCATACTTAATATTCAACATTAATAATACTTCTCAATCAATATGAAGTGGTTCGACCACTTAAAGTTAAATATAGTAAAATCAATATTTTGAGTAATGGTTATTGATTTATAACCAAGAAGGTCTTACTACCCATTGAATGAATGAAAACGATAACATAATACAACATACGCATTTTTATCCTCGAAGGGGTAGGCAGAGGTCCACATTGCGGCACATAATGCCACTGTACAATGTAACACCCACTTTTCACTATTTACATATGTTATGAGTCCCATGTAATAGGCGATAAGCCTATTGCCATATACCGTGCACCGTCTACTACTGAGATTTTTAAAAAAACCAGCAATACTTTGCCCGACCCGGGAATCGAACCCAAGATCCCTTCCCAGCAGTCGTACTTGCGACCACTCGGCCAACGAGGCAGTAGAAGCAGTTAAGCAACTATTTTTTAGTATTAATGAAGTTTTTTGTATTAGGAACCCTTCTTTTTTCTTATATTTGATGGGGCGACGTTTAACCACTATCTCGCCTGGTGGTAAGCGATGATGCGGTCTACGATAGAGCACGTCTACCCATAAGCTACCTATTCACTCGGGCCTTAAAGACAAACAGATTACCTTCAGAAAACACAGAATATGACAAAGAATTCCACCCCTTAGCACGCACAGCATAGTAGAACAAAGATCTATGGATACCAGCAGAATTTCGATAACAGAACACCTAATAGTAATTTGTTGAACCCCAAAACAGGCTTTAATTCAACAGTAACTCTTGTCACCACAAGTCGATCAACAAAGCAGTCATGGTGGTCATTAATCTTAGTATAATTACAAGTACACAGAGCACATACATAGACATCAATACAATTAGACTATAAAGCCTCTAGGTCGATTTCCATCACAGCGGTTAGATTCAATTAGATTAGTGAATTACGCAGAAGATATTAGACACAGTGTACTAGTATGTGTGTATTTGTAGGAGCAATACCTATACCATCATTTAAAAGATCTTCTGACTTTTTGATACGAACGTTTATCTCGTAGGTTTCTGCCTCGCACAGCAAAATTGTGGAATGATCTGACGTCGGCGGTGTTTCCGAACCGATACGACCTTCAAACCTTCAAGAAAAGAACGTATTATTTTTTAAAAGGCCGGTAAGGGACCTGTGACTCCTCTGGTGTTGCGGGTGTCCATGGGCGACGTTGATCGCTTACCATCAGGTGATTCGTAGGCTCGTTTGCCTCCTATTCCATAATAGGATGTCGCGGAGAACCTAACGGGTAACCGGGGCTCCGGCTCGACGTGCAGGGGAAGCAACGGGGTGGTTTTTAGTCAGTAAGAGTCTGACACTCCCTCCCGCCTCACCCAGGCGGGAAGCAGGCATTCGATGATTTTCCCCTCTTAAAAAAATCCATAATAGGATTCCTAATAATATCATAAACACTGACAGCCAACTGCTGGACTAAAGGCCTCCTTTGGTTATTATTATTAAAATATTATTGGTAAAATTATATAACCAAGGTAGCAATTTAAAAATGAACACTTGAAAACAAAACTTATTTAATTGTTTCAGATCAAGAAACTTTAAACACAGACAAAATATAAAACCAGTACACACAAAGAAAAAAACTCAAAAAATCAGTCTTCTAGCAAATTTTAATCGAATGCCAATTTAATACATCTGTGGAAGGTTTATCATCAAGCTGATAGCATATCAGGCCTAGCATGGAGGCGTGTGATATGAGAGATAACAAAAATCATTATACAGATAACGTTTACAGTGTGTTTACCCTAAAATTTCTGCGTAAATACCGATGGTAGTGCAAATATGGTTGTGCAAATGTCAACATGATTTTACAATCAATCACCACCAAACTTGATATAGTTAATCAGTAAGTAATAATAATTATGAAGCATTTTTCGATAAGCAAATAAGTATGTTTACTTGTGTATTTTGCAAAATACAAATTGCTGGTATTTCCAATATATAGGTCCCGTTTTATCAATGAAAACTACCAATTCAGTGCATGCTAAACCAGGAGTGCCTCTTAAGTGAATTATGGATTACGAGCCTCCTTGAATAAAATGAGTTACTACTTTCTTCAATGGTAATGACAAAACTTTCCATTCCACTTATCTAAGAGATTTTTACAGCACTTTGTTTAATACTGATGTATTAAAGCACTCGAAATCGAACCCTATCTTAACATATTAAGATACAAAATACTTAGTTGTTGCAACATCACGTGTTGCTAGCAACAATAACAACCTTTAGCAACTAACCTTAAAAAATAAAATCACGACCATCACTCTCTAAAGATACAGACAGAGAAGTGCAACGAGCATTTTTGTCAAAATTGAAAAACACAATATTATATTGCTCAATCAAGATAACAATGGTAATATCTCGTTGTCATTGGTCTAGAGACAATTTACAGTCGACCTAGCAACAGCAGCACACATAAAAAACAAAATACACATTACACAATCCAGCCACATTATTTCATCATTAATTTCGATAAGTCTTAAAAAAAACAACTTAGTTTATACCTCACTGTAACTAATACAGTCCGATATTTCACTTGATCAAATCATCCAAGATGCACCAGTTAGTCCTATATCTGAACCATTCAGATTTGGACAGACCTCACTAGCCACAAACACTACCATTTTTGCCACTTCTTCTGGGTCCAAAATCTTCATTTTATTCGATAGGTGTTCATATGTGTGTTCCATTTCATCTTCTCCCATAGCCAGATTTGCTAGTATATTCGTTCTGGTAAGTCCTGGCTGAACAGCATTTACTCTTACTCCTTCAGTTGCCAGTTCGACAGCGGAGAATCTAGTGAACCTTTCTAAACCAGCTTTCGAGATGGCGTAAGGTAGAAATCCATGAACGACCTTAGTGTATTTTGTTGCATGCAAATTGACAATATTCCCTTTAGTTTTTATGAGATACGGTAAGGCTAGATGCGTTAATTTGTAAGGCACACGAAGGTTGATATCGATCATTTCATCAAAAGTGTCAATATTATCATCGAATAAGGATCCGATTAGCATTTTTGCAGCACAGTTCACTAGGACATCAATTCTATCGTATGTTGCTATAGTTTTGGTGATAACAGCCGCACAGCTTCCAGCGGCAGTCAGGTCTAGTCTAAGACACAGTGGTGGTATTCCATTAGCATCTTGACACTTTTTGGCAACTGCTTCAAGTCTCTGTTCGTTTCTGCCGATGAGAGTGAGTTTGGCTCCATGTTTGGCGAAGAGAACGGCTGACGCTGCTCCGATCCCTGAACTAGCTCCCGTCACAATCACTACTTTATTTTTGAAGTCCATTTTGAGACTCGTCTTTGGTATGATAACTTCAAAAACTGTTGGATTTTAAGTTTTAGTTTCGTAACTACGGATTTTTTTTTTAAATAATTTATCTCACATGTATTGTATCTCGTGGTTGGTACGGTACTGTTAACATACGTTCAGCTTGCGATAGGACGAGATAGGTTATCATTCTGCACTACATTCGAGAAACTTGTAAACATATGGCCGGCGATAAGAGCAGTGGTATGATAGGTATTATTATCTTCATAATTATCATCAGTTTCGGCTTTAGATAAGGTACGCATGAAGTAATAGATATAAATAGTAGTACGGTTTCAGTACATTAATGGGTGACGTCAATTTATATTTTACTAGCGTCAAATCATGATAATTGTGCGTATTCGCTTCGTAGATCTGGTGATTGCAAACCAAGATTAGTAGTAACAAGATTAGAAAATAATATAATACCTAATTAGCTTTGAGATGGTTACATCTGAAGAAGTGAATAATCAAGTTAACAACGGTGTCTATCTTTCTATCACAATTCACTAACACAGTACGAGAAGACAAAAACACTTAATACAACGACCAAAATTGTTCAAATTCACAAATACCCTCGTTCAAGCATTTAGCGGTCACAATAAAAGGACTCAAATATCTCTATCTACCCGCACGCGGCATGCAATTCTCGGATCACGTCAGTCTAAACTGGCACTCGAAAGCGTGCGGACGTGCTTTGCATTCGCACGGAATGTATTACCCAGCGATTAGTGGCAGTCGAATCAAGTATCGTGGAACTAGAGATTATCGGGGATTTGAAACTTCAAGTGTTACTGTACGTGAGATAGTAGTTTCAATGACTTTTAGTTTAGGTAGTTGAGTAACTTATTTCAATATTTAATATTAAATTAATAGACTATTCCTACAAAGACTTGTTACAAGGTTCTCACTACAAAATATTTGACGAGTCCTCAGAGATGTTTGCACAAACCTATGTAAGATTTATTTATAGCTACGAACCCATTTCGACTCCTTTAGTAAGAGACATTGAGAGAGACAGAGACAAAAAATTGTATATCTCTTTATAACCATCTATTCTCAAATTGAAACTTTGTAGGAACATACATCATTGCACAGCCAAAATCACACAACACTCTAAACATAATTGAAAAAAGCTGTCCAACACAACACCATCCAATCATAATTTCCCTACACTTGCGTGCAATCACAATTTGAGCGCATACTTTGGCCAGAAGTGTACGGTGGAGCAGAGGTAATGTGAGGGTGAGCTTATCTCCCTCCATTAGTCGAATTGAACTGGGCACTTTTGTTTGCAACGCAGTGTACTGGCTCGATTGTTGCGATGCATCGCGAGAGGGGCTGTGGCCTAAGTTATGAGAAGAAGCGATTTTTGTAATTGTGTCAAGGTTGTATTTCAGTTTTCAGCTGGTCGATTTGTAAATCATTGGGTGGCTCATGTTCAGCAGTGAATATTGTGGTGGATATGAGGATGATGATGGTTGTAGGCTAACATAACATTGGAGTACATCTATTACAGGCATATTGTCAAACACATATTTATTAGGAAATACGCTTTCATTTAATACACTCTTATTTATCACGAAAAATCTGACACTTCACATTAAAACCAAAACTTTCAAATTAATTAATTGAATAGAATATGTATAACCATTTTATTTTAACAGAGTGTCTGTCAAAACATTTTCAACAACGTTAGTCTGTTTATAAGCCGCTGCCGCTCATAACACAAACCACACACAAAACATGTCTGAAAATAGACAGCACATTGTAATGAGATTAATAACAAGGCAGTGACGAGTACAATAATAACTTAACAAGTACATTACAGGCAAGTTTTAAATAAACTAGCTCTTTGATAAGCGACCTGAGATTAATATAACAACACCACGCCTTTTATCCCCGAAGGGGTAGGCAGAGGTGCACATTATACCACTGTACAATGTAACACCCACTTTTCACTATTATGAGTCCCATGTAATAGGGGGTGAGCCTGTTGCCATATACCGGGCACAATTCCAGTCTCCGTGCTGCTACTGAGAATTTTTTTAAAAACTAGTAATACTTTGCCCGACCCGGGAATCGAACCCGAGACCCCTTGCCCGGCAGTCGTACTTGCGACCACTCAACCAACGAGGCAGTCATATAGTAATCTTATTAATATAGTATCTACTCATAACATAACAGCATGCCTTTTAATTCCCGAAAGAGAAAGCAGCTCGAGCATAGAACACGTCGCGTTCCGCGCGCACCTCAAAGAGCCATCAGACCAGTATAGATGGGGCCCAATGGGGTGATGCCGATACGGAGCCGCGGAGGACTTAACGGGTTGCCGGGGCTCCGGCTTGAAGTGCAAAAGTAGGAACGAGGTATGGTTTTTAGTCAATAAGAGTCTGACACTCATCTCGCCAACCCAAGGCGGGAGAAGTCATTGGGTGGCATTTCCCCCTCAAAAAAAAAAACTGTTAAGTTATTCAGCGTGATGGACCACTTAAACTAACCCATTAACTGTACTATTAGGCGACATAAGTCGGTGAAAATTAAAATGAAGTTAAGTGTCACCAATCTCGAGGGCGAGTGTATTGTCACACACAGGGCAAAATTTAACAAAATAAATAAACAAAGGGCAAGTGCAGCTACATCCAACACATAAATTGACCTGAACAATCGAAGCGTACAAAAAAACCGGCTTGAAATAAACAGATTGAATTTATATTGAAATAGAGGGGAGACGGGAGTATAGACAAGGGGGGCCGGTGATAAAAATAGGGGAAATATTGTCTCATCTCCATCGACTGGGTATTGGACTGTTAAGTAGGCGGCAGTTATTGGTGGGGGGCAGGTCAGATGGCGAACGGTAGCGAGAGCGGGTTATAGTGAAGATGAGATACATGATTTTGGTCTGTTGTTTTGGCAAAAATGTTAGACTGCCGAGTAAGATGTCTCGGTTTCGATTGCAGAATCAGCAAAAGTATTATTGAGTTTTAAATTATTTTCAACTAGCTTTTACCCGCGGCTTCGCTCGCGTCACAAAATGATAAAAAGTGGCCTATGTGACATATACCAATAAACACAGCGCCATCTATACCAATACTTTTGTTTTCCCTTGGGAATATCACATTTTTCCGGGATAAAAAGTACCCTATTATTTAATCTGGACTTCTAACTTTACGTCTGTAAAAATTCAATGCAATCGGTTTAGTAGTTACGGCGTGAAAGCGGAACAAACAAACAAACAAACTCACTTTCTGATTTATAATATTAGTAAGGATAATAGCATGGAATTCGGATTTTTATATTTTTTTCAATAATAGCACATTATTTGGTGTGTAATATCCTCACCTAAATATCCTCACCATACATATACATGGACATGAAATTCTGCATATTTGCTAAACAACGCGTGTAACCCGAGATCCTTGCTTGGCAGTAGCGCTTTAGGCCAAAGTAGCACTTAAGGCATTTTTAAAAAAGATCGCGAATCGCTTATATTACGACCTACCCCTAAACCTTCTTTAAGATAGGAACCCAGTAAAGTGTATCGCTTAATTCAGCCCACTGTAATTCAGAGGGAAAACATTGATAAACAAAATAAAGGAAACGCATAAACATGACTGTCAAATTAAATTGTTATAGCAGTGTATTTACAATTTTCATTAATATCGAAAGCGATTGATAAAACAAAGGCTCTGTTTAGATCCATGGAATATCCGCGCCAAAAAAATACTTTTGGACCACTATAGTTATGTTTCGGCGGTCGGGATTTTGATTAAAAAAAAAGATTTATTAATTAATTACAATTTAATTATATTATTAATCAATACAGGATGTTATTTTGCTGGTGATCGCGATTAGACTGGCTATCTAATGTCATTATACAATGCAATTGTAAATTGAGTAAATGCTGAGTTGCATAAAGCCCTAGCTGCTATATCATCAAAAGGGTTCGAAATGGTGGGTTACGATGAGTTAACTCTATTCATTAATTTATTATTATTTTTTTACTATTATACGTCGACCCATTAATCTGTCAAACACCAAGCGGTCACCGGTGACCGCGACCTATTGTTCTTTAATTGTGTCTATAAAACCGGTACTCGACGAGTTAAGAATAAAAAAAAAATGTCATGAGTTGTAGTCGTAGTAAAAAGAAGATTCACCCCCTATTACCCATGTACAGCCTACTTTTGAAAAATCAACAAACTTCAAAGATAAAGATTTTTCATTTGTGTTCATTCATTCATTTGTTTTCATTGAACAAAAAGGCGATCTACGGTTAATTGGGAAATATGAAATGTTTCATAGACATACGTTTTTGATGAACTGATGAACGCGGGAGACGAAATATCAGTCGTAGTACTGCTGCCGGTGTTTGGATCAACCTGAATTCAAACCTTATTCAATATGGTTTTGAAGTACACTTACCTGTAACAAAGAAAAGAACAAACATTAGGAATAATAAAACAAATACTTTCAGAGTAACCTGCATTTAGTAGCTCCCTAAATACCTTTACAAATATCACTCATCATCATCATCATCAACAGCCTATAAGTGCCCACTGTTGAGCAACGGCCTCTTCTCACACAAAGAAGGTTTGAGTTTTAAACACCACGCTTGCTCATTGCAGGTTGGAGATTACGAACTGATAATTAGAAATTATAACCCCAGGTTTCTTCACGATGTTTTCCTTCACCGATTGTCTAAATAATCTTAGAAAGTGCATATATCACGAAAAAGTCACATTGGTGCTTGCCGTTGGTAGGTTTCGAACCTTCATGCATGATAAGCAGGTTAAGATACCTTCGGGTCACCACAACGTTGTACAAATATCTGTGAAATTTTCAAATGGTCTTTATCAGGTTAATTAAATACTTCAACTTTAAAATGCTCTATAAACCAACCAACATCTTATAAAGTAAATTGAACAAAATTGAAGTTCAATAGTGCGTTTAATAGTCCCACGGGAGCAGTTCTCTTA